AAAAAAAAAAATTATAATAATATACTGTTATTAATTTTAGTATACGCGTTTACTGAAAAATCGATGTATACAAAGAATAAAAAACCGAGCGCTCATGTTTGTTTTTCAGCACCTATTTATATTTGTTCACTAAAACCGATGAAATTTCATCTTAAAAACAATTGCGGTTCCAAAAACTTCGATGTTCAGACGTTAACCTGCATGTAAATCCCTTGTCCATATAATTCCATGTTTCCAGAATAAATATACAGGGAGTGTTCGAAAAAAACCACTCCAATAGTTAATGAATATCCTTCTATTGAATGCATAAACATTATTCCGTAATACACTGTTCCTATAGTAGTTAACAATAATAATAATTATTATCATATTATAATATAATACCTAGGTATGTCATACAAGTATACATTAATAATTATGCATTTTAATGTACAGAATAAATACAAGAAATAATTAAAGATAGACATTTTATACATTTATTTCGAAACAAAATGATGGTGTTACAAATGTTTACTTAAGTTTTCTTTAGTTGTTAATTTTCTAAAAAAATGTTGAAGTTTACTATAATCATTTACAAAATCATTGGAAAATTAGTAACTCGATTGATATTATTTATTGATTTATTAGTAAACTTCAATAAATTGTAGAAAATTAATGATCAGTCATTAGTAAATATTTGTAACACCAACATTTTATTTCAAAATAAGTTAAAAACATGGCTATTTTGGATTTTATATAAAAAAATGTATTTTAATTATAATTTTTTTTTATCCTTAGCTTTAAATAAAACAAATTGTAAACACGAACTTTTTCGTTGTGGCAAGCGATTATTATATGCGTTTTTACGAATGACTTTGGTACCAGTATAGGTAAAAAAAAACTAGTACATTTATTTTGGGATAAATAAATAATGAACTGTCGATCGTTTCACAATAATATATTTATATATATTATACATATGCATATATGAATACTTATAATAATTATTGCCATTCAAACTATTTATAAATGCATTAATAAAGTTTCAAGTATTGATTATTTTGGCCAACGTCCAAAAGATAAATGTATAATAAATACTAATAATACCAGGGTATTATAAGCTAACTTAACAAATTCAATTTTACTATTACGAATTTTCATGTAAAACAATATAAAATAATAAAATATTTGTAAACCCTTTTATTAAAATAAATGCATAAAAAAAAAAAAAAGGTAAGAAAAATTACCTCTTTAAAACACCTCCCCAGTAAAATTTCCTTTTAAAAACATTGATATCGTTACAAGTTGGAGCAAAATTGCTAGTAGAAAATTTGTCCACAGAAAAAAAAAATCGTAATATTATGTAAATATATTTAAAAAAAATATTATTAAGTATATTTTGTACATTTTCCCGTTTTTTTTTTTTTCGGTTTTTCACATATGATGAGAAAACTCCGGAAAAAATCAATAAACGACCTCTTTAAGGGATTTTCCTACACCAATTTCCTTTCAGAAAAGTTTCTACACGTAAAATCGGAGCAAGTCTTCTAGTAGAAAAGTTGTCCAAAGAAAAAAAATAAACATCTTTGTAAAATCATAAGCTTCTTCGCTCTACTCAGAATCTAAAAGAAGAATGCATAATACAGTATAATATAATATTTGTATTATATAACTGTAAATCTGTGAAGAAAATAAATTTCTTATTGGTATAAATGTTTTCATAGATTATATACAGTAAAAGCCGCTTATAAGACTTACGAATACAAGGTTCAGTTGCTTATTAAACTCAAAATTACTTGAAGCAAAATCACAATGAGGTCATTTTTTGATTTTCTTTGGAGTTTTTTAATCTAATGTAAAAAACCGAAAAAAAAGGAGGAAAAACTGGAAAATTTATGAATATATTAGTAAAATATTACGATTTGTTTTCCTGTGAACAACTTTTCTACTAGCAATTTTGTTCCGATTTACAATGAAAACACATTTTCTAAAAGGATACCAGATTAGGGAGTTACATTACAGAGGTTATTATTTTTTTTTTTGATTTTCTCAAGAATTTTCCTAGCAAATGTGAAAAACTGAGAAAAACATAGGAAAAACGGGAAAACCTGTACAACATTAAACAAATGTTCTTAAGAAAATATAAAATATATATTTAATTATTTTACCATAATATGACATATAATATATTGTTCGCACTAAGAATTTGCGAATAATTTAGTCTATTAAACTAATAAATTATATGATGATTTTACTGTATAAACAGGTATTGGTATTTTTGAATTTAATTTTTTTCTGTTTAATATTTTTACACTATTTGAAAAACGTCACAATCGAATAATTTTTTGTTTTTTAAACTTAAATTTATTAGGGCAATATCTAAAATTATATTGGACATTTTGTAAATTGTATTATTGTTATAATTGATTAACGATAAAATACATGATAACGATATGATGTACTTTAGAAATTGTATTTCTTCATTGTTTTGACTGTTTTGAATGATTTGCGTGAATTTTATTTTATTATTTTATTTTTATCATTTATTTTTCTTCATATTTATTCCATAATAATAATTTATTATTTAAATCATAATAATAATAATTTTTAGTTATTATTTACAATTATTATTTTATTTGTTATTTAATTATTTCTTTTAATTTAGTATTAACTCGATTTAATAAAACGATTGCACTTTTAAAAATCGTATAAATATTAAAATGGCATTATGGTTATACATTTATTACAGCATAAGCAGTACGTCAGTATATACAACACGTCATTGATATTACGTACAAAATCTTATGTCCCTCTTGAATTGTTTATTTTTCGGTACAAACAAATATTTAGTATACGTCATTAAATAAGCTGATTAGTAATTACTATATTGTAGAACTATTATATTATTACTTATATTATTGTATAATGGAGTGGAGTTGGATGTTCCGTAGTCGTATCCGTTGCAGCATATTTAATGCATAATATAAGTGTAAATAAATATGTAGATTTTAATGAGATCAGATGAGAGGGATAGACCAACCTCATGGTCATATACCACAACGGAGTGGTTTATACTGTTTATAGTTTTATCAATGATAAATGGTTTTTTTTTCTGATAACGCGGTACCTACCTAATCAATTTGTCATTGAAGCTTATTCGATCGGAATACTCACTTTAATGTACGCGGACGTTAGACGGTTTAAGAAGATACATTTTACACCTAAAGCTTTTATAATCTCATTATTTAATTAAGACCTCTCTAGAATTATTTTTACGAATAAAAAAAAAAAAATGATAATGCGTTGGAAATATAATTTTATTAGTTTAGTATATTTTTATTTGCCATGGACATAATAATTTCATTTAAACTTTTTTGGAACAGGCCTATCTACGACTACTTATATTCGAATATATTAGTTTAGGTAGGTACGTTTTCCGTGCGCTCAAGAAAAAAATGTTTTTAAAACGAATGTAATTTATTAATCGTTATTAAATAGTGACTTACTCACTGGTGCGTAATATATGTGCTGTATGTGATTATTTATCCCGGATATAATAGATTTAATTAGACAGAATATTTCAAAATATACCTGCGTATTATTTTAAATAATAGATGTAATTAATAAATTATGTTTTTCACTAAAATTAGGTACTTACAACATGAAGTGTTTAAAAAATGCATAACTTAGGATCATTTAGTGTTTTCTTATAAGGTCTCAGAAATTTGTTTGTTTTTTTTTTTTTTTTTTTAATTAGTTTATTACTGTTATTTTTATCCATAAATACTGAGAAGGAAGGAGGGTTTCTCCTTTCCTCAGAAACAATCTACATCTATAACATTTAAATGGACATGAGCGTGTAAATTGTGTTTATGCAACCTCGCCATTTCCATCATAAAAATAAGTTGTAAATACGTCATTGAACCGAGTACTTAATATACATAATATATTCTAAAATTGATTACGTATAAATTTCTTTTTTTCTTATTGAAAATCTTTAAGAAAATTGATTAAATTACCTATATGGCTATATATTTAATTATACCTATATTTAATTAAGGATATTTTCTTGTATAATATAATTTGTATATTATTCAAATGACAGATACGATCCGCAAAGGTTGGGTAGATAGAGGATGAATTGAACCATCATCAGAACACTTACCACCCGACTGCAACCTATAGACTGGCCGACACGGAGGGCAAATTCACCAGATTACATGTAGGCATGGGATGATCAAAAGAGATTAGTTGTACGAAAACTGGGATATGGCGATCGAGATAATATAACCAGTAAATGCGAACAAGAGCAAATAATGTTCAGCAGAAACTGGTCCGTGCACGCGAGACGACCTGTTGGCAAACGACCAAAATACAGTAAACTCGGCTTAATACTGCAGGACACAGAGAAATATTATGTAGCCAGTATACGTTATCTGCAGTCTATGTAACTTAGTATTTATTTTATTTATTTATCTCGATTCTCTTTTCTGTTCTGCTAAAAAAAAAAAAAATAAAATAACAATAATAATAAAAAATAAGCGCTAAGGATGGGTATCGTATATTTTGCTCTATACAACGAAAACCGAAGATAAAATCGTCAGTATAAATTATATTAACTTATTATAATTCGCCTGACGTCATCGTTATGTGTAGATACGTATGTATATTATAATCAGGGCAATATATTGTATAGTGTACAGCAATCGCGTACACATAAACACACACGCACACACACACATCATACACACACACCTGACATGACATGCCAAGTAATAACACATAAATACATCTAGGTTGGTGTAAATCGACAAAAAAAAACATATGTATATTATCTCCACGTGCGTTATTAAAGTATTATTATAATTTATTATTATTATTATTATGCGTGTGCGCGTTTCCTAAAAAAAAAAAAGGTAGGGGCGAAAAATAATACTCGCGTAAAGACGTAACTATATATACGTACATAAAGAATAGCCGGTACCTATATAATATTATAATCGAAGCATTTTTAGGATAATATTCAAACGAGTTCCGAGTGATTTTTACATGCAGAGACGGGCTCGTATACGGTGATAATATTACTTTAGAATTAAATTTTTTTTTTTCTTTGTTTTGTTTTTTTTTTTTTTTATTTTGTTTTATTTAACCGCTCGGCATCGCGTCGTACAGTTAATCGGACAGTTCAGTCGACCGGACATACCTATAGTATACCGCGTTTGATAATAGTTATTTCATGCGAATCATAGCGGTTGCTTATTTAATATCTAAACTATCGTTCGTTTCGTATTGTCGTTATAAAAGTATATACTCGCGCACGTATTTTACGAAAACCACGCCGAGAATTAAAAGAGTTAAAAGTTGGTATTTCTAAAAATAAAACCGTATACCGTATATTATTATATTCATTGCCGAGACAATAATAACGTTGGCGGCATCGTCAGCGGCGGTGACGACGACAGAGACCACGACAAAAGGCGACTGTATCGACAACTCTGTATAACAAAAACAAACATAAACAAACAAAAGAAAATACATTTTGTTTGTTGGTTTTTAAATTATCAGTTATCTCGCCAATATGCACGCCAGTACGTTTCGACAAATAATAGCGTCGTTTATTAGTAAGTACACTATATCATTATTATTATACATTTCTTAACGTTTATTTTTCTCGACTTTTCGTAATTTTTATTTTGTATTATTATTATTTTCACATATATTAAAAATTATATCAAGTCTCCTTCGTATTTAGCACGGTAATCGTTTATTTTCTTTTATCTGTTTCCTCTTATAACGCGTGCCAATTTTTATCTTATTTTTTAAAATCTATTTACAATTTTATATTATGCAAAAGTTCTTTCTCAAAGCCAATATTATTGTTTTTTCTGTTTTAGTTTTATTGCCTGCCAATGATTATAATAGTATACCAAATGAAACGTTAATAATAATAACAATATTAGATACCTAGTCGATAATTAACAGAATTTAATAAAAAAGTTAATTTTTTTCTTTTTCTGAATTGTTGTATTCTTTATATTACTTTATAGATATACATAATATATACGTAATATGTAAAAATATTGTACGGTATACGTACAGGCTGTAACCCTAAGATCTAACACCTGAATTACTTTTGATCTGGTTAATATTTTGCGGGAAATTTTACTACATAATTACTAGAGCCTCGCGCTATTTTATATAAACCTATTTTTTAAAAAATTTACAAAATGACCTTTGACAAATATATTTCGAAACTAAATATTGTCACATATTTACTTTCAGCGAATCCATTTGAATCCATCTCCAATTGTTTTGAAGTTACCTACACCCGTAGTCAATTAAAAACCGAACGACATATTATTGAGTATTTTCTTTTTGGTTTTAATTCGCACGCACACGCGTTGATAATATTATAATCGTATAAGTATAATATATCATATAACTGATTAATATTAATATTATGATTTTTTTTAATTATTCGTACGCGTTTGACTGTATTAGTTTAATTACTTACCGCAGAGAAGTTTGTTATATATATAATTATTATTTTACACGTACATTGCATACAAAATAAATAATAATTTTTCTTTTTTATATTATTATTATTTTTTATGTATATATATAATAATATGTATGTATATCAATAATAAATATTGCCTAATTATAATATATAACACATATACATAATATAATATTTAAATATACAATAGTTAAGTTTACCAACAGAGAATATAGAAATAAAAAGAAATCGGGTTTTTCTAGTACAAGCGCTTAGGCGATCTACTCGCGATCCCATTTACCGGTCGTATATCGCGTATACCTATTATAGAACATAGGTACTTAAAATATTCAATATTATAATAATAATCGCAATATCGCAAATATTAAAGTCCATCATGTATGTATTATCGAAATATTATAGGTAATAATATTATATATTTACACGACTGGCCGGCGAACGACCCGACCCGATGGTCGCATGGTCGAGCCGCATGCTACAATTTAATTTTACAGTACTACATAATATTGGTATCTTATCACTTATTTTATAATATTACGATAATGTATTATAATATCAGGTTTATAATTTATATTATTGTATGCAATATCTCTCATACCTATTTTATTATTATATATTTTCCCGATAAAACATAATATGTAACTGTATTAAAAAAATTAATCATTTTATACTATAGACGATGACAGTGTAACGATTAGATTACATTAATTTGTATCATATCGTTGCGTTTATTACCCATACATACCTATAACTCGCCTCGTCCCGATAAAATAATATTATTATAATAATTAATAATTATTGTAGGAATTACCAAATATATATATATTAGGTGTTATAATATAATACACGTTATATAGGGGATGTCATATTATTACATTATATTATTATAATGTGTGCTCGGAAAGTTTATTAATAAAATAAATTAGTTCACGGTCACCATTCATCTTGTTAAAGCCGAATCGATTCTAGGCTCGTTCTGATATATGCGAAAGGAACATTTTCAAATCATCAACATCGTCAAATACAAATTATTAAATTATTGGTATGCGATTTCTGAAATAACAACAGATACGTAGGTACGTATAGGTTATACCGTTACGTAGAAAATTATTTTCTACCTACAATTTTATCTACCACTATGTACAACTTATAATAACCCTCCTGTTAAATTTACAAGCATTTAAATTTAGTCTAACAATTTTATCCACATAGTATACTTACTGAATAAAAGTTACGTACAAAACTGGCAAAATTAAAATGTCTATAAATAGCTCAAAAAAAACTAAATCTTTCAAGTCTCTGTGAATATTTATACTGAACTACAATAAAAAACAAAATTAAGAATAATAAAATCATTATTTTCGTAAATTTTCCCGTTTTCCTTACGTTTTATCCCAGGTTTTTCCAGATATTATGAAAACCGCTAGGAAAATGAAAANAGGGTAACATTGCCAAAACTTTTAAAATTTTTTGAGCTTTTAAGGAATTTGAATTGTTGGTAGTTATTTTGCTGTAATTCGGTTATAAATACACGTAGAAACTTGAAGCTTGGTAATAATGATTATTCTTGAACTTACCCAGATGTGGTAAAATTTTCAAAATCATTGGACGACTTTTTAATTTTTTTACTATGGTACTTAATTTTTTTTTAAATATACTGTAGACCACTTTTATTCTAAAAAACTTGCTCCGGTGTATAAGTGTAGCACATTTTCTGAAATTCAATTTTATCTACTTGGTAAATATATAGGCTTTTTTTTGATTTTCGAAACAGTATTTAAAATCTGCGTTGAAAAATAGGAGTATATCATTTATCCAAATTAAATTATGTGCTTCTTGTTCAAAGTGCAATATTCGTAGTATTGGAGTAAGGATATAAGCATTCTAAAACAGTAGTCCTTAATAATAAAATAAAAACGATTTCATTTAATGATTGGAATAAAAAATGATAAAAACTGATATCAAATTTACATAAAATCCGAAAAATCGCATGCACTTTCAATTTTATTCGTTCGTATGTAACGTATAGTATACGTTTACTGACTATAATATTTAGAAGTGCACTCACAGACAAATATGCGGTTGCGAATTAAAATTGAATGTACAATATTACCTGTATTGGTCTACCCAAAAATGTTGTGAATTTCGAGATAATATAATAATAACTGATTTTTAACTTCAATGTCACCTATATAACCAAGCATACAAGTATATTGGACATAATTTTATGTGAGTAGTTTTAATATATTTCATGATAATTGCTGCAGTTGGACGATACCTATGATTTATTTTAATACAATATAGTAAATGATTTACAGATATTTTATTAAACGAACAAAAAGTCATATATAATATATGCACGTATAGATTATTTCCTCGATTGGTTAGGTTTTTTTTTAGTCGGACGTAGATATTTTACTCTAATCTCTATTAGTAGGCCAGTATCATATCTAATGTCAAATTAACCAATTTTGCGCTATTAGTTTTAATATTAGATTGAATTGACCTTTTATCAAACTCAAAGGTAAAATCATAGTTTGTGTTTGTACCAATTATATTTTAGATTCTGAGTGGAAAGAGTATACAAAGATGTTTATTTTTTTCCTGTGAACAACTTTTATACCAGTATTTTAATCCAATTTATAATGATAGCAATTTTTCTAAAAGAAAATCGAACTGGGGAGGTACTTTGAAGAGGAATTATTCAATTTCCAAAGAATTTTCCCCAGCAAATATGAAAAACCGAGAAAAACGTAGGAAAATTGGAAAATCGTTACATTAAACAAATATTATTAAAGAGAATATATAATGTCTATAATTTTTTTATCATAATGTGACATATGTTTTTGAAAAAGCATCACTATCAACTGAACTCCACTCATAATCGTTTTTTAATTAGTAATAGTTTATCGTTGCTTACAGCTATTCAATTTAGGTTGGGTTACATCCAGTAACATCCAGTACATCCGAGTTAGGTCCCGGGTTAATACAGGTGCTTTACTAGTTGGATTCCGGATTTCCACAGGTTGTACACTAGTTGGGTCCCGAATGTGGTTAAAATGTGCCATATTAACGTAATATATAATAACTTATTAGTTATTAGTAATAAATGAATAAGTTTAGTAACATAAAACTTGATTTTGTCAAAATACTTTCTTATAAATGTTTACACAAGTACATTTAGTATATTAGTATTGAATTAAATTAAATGGACACATGTTTTTAATTTTTTTTTTTTTTTACATTAAGTATATTAAATTAGTAGGTATTCATTGAACGACCGGAGATTACCTTCTGAATGTTTTCCAAATTATTAATTCATCTGGCAAAATAATTTTTTATAGAACCTAAGTTTTATTTTAAACTAAAATTCACTGACAGTCCTAAGTCTGTAAAAATGAGAAGAAAATTAAGTGTTTGTTTTGCTTGTATACGTTTGGACCCAACTAGTGTAGTACCCAAAATTCATTGGGTCTCAACTAATGTACTACCTACCAAAACCATTTTATCTGGGGCCCAATTCAGATGCAGCCATTAAATTACCTATAACAATGGCTGCATCCGTCCTCATTATTCTAGGACAGCTTTTTAAAAATTGTTTTGTTATAAACACAAGTTTTTTGATAAATGATATATAAAATGGTAAACTAACGTACAAAAACGAACAATAACATTCTTATCTTTAAGTTTGATATTACCTACACCAAATCTAATACTAATAAAATTAACAGCCAAAATTCGATTTACCGAACGCAAATTTGACGTTATCAAATTTTTGAGGTATAGCCATAATACATTTACCATCAGTCATGCAGGGTTCATTTTTGAAGAAGTAGGGGGTAATGCATTTCAAAGAAATATCCGGACGGATATTTAAGGGTAGTTTATTACTAAATATCGTACATAGATATATTAAAATAGATCTGGTTCACGATAAAACAGTCATTCTGTATAAAAAACTGCTGCTCAGTTGAGCGATCGTTTTGCTTCGTTCATTTTTGTCCATGATCAATGGTGTACCTGTAGGGAGGGAGAAGGGGGTATTCGGTCTTCCCCCTGTGGGTTGTATAATTTTATTGGACAATATGTGTGCATTGTTATATTTTTTAAATCTTTAAGAAATTTTTTATTTTAAGAATGGGTGAAAATATATTTTGCCTCTCCTTCCTAAAAGATGTATAGGTACGCCACTCTCCGCGATAGTATAGGTATAATATTTAGTATTGTAGTGTTTTATTATTTCAAGGCATAATTTATTATAATATCATTTTATTCGAGTATTATCACTAATATAAAATGTTTTTAACATTTTACGTGCTCGTAAGAAGAAAATACTCTGACGGGTGTGAATCGCCGAGATAAACGCAATTAGTCGTATATAAACAATATAAATTAGCAAAACTGTATATTATGTAGAACTGCGTAAACGAGAATTTTCGGTGAAGGGAATTCATCATTTCAGCACTGAGATAATATTATTCAAAACGGTGCAAAACGTAATGAATATAAGATATAGGCAAACGTTTTGTTTAAGTGAGTAAAGATTTTTTTTTATATAGTTCAAAAACTATATGTTATTTTAATATTATACAATTAGGTTGTATATTATTTGCTGTTAAACGAATATATCCACCTATATTCTGTGTGAAGTATTTGGGATTTTGATGTTCTATAGGTTAACAATTAATTATCTAGTACCATTTTATTTGAAATCCCTTTTATACAGAGGCGTGTAGTTGTGAAAATATTCAGAGGGCCTCCCTACCGAAAGTCCAACATTTTTTCCCTATTTTAATAGGTATTTTTTCTAGCATACTTTTTTTTTTTAATTTGGGGTGGTCTGGATCACGATATATTTTATGTACTTTTGTTTCTGAAATTACACGAAATAAAAACTGAACACATTTTTGAAAATTTTAAAATATAAAAGCCAAAGATCGTTTTTTTCTGTGTTATGTAGTAAAATAGATTTTTTTTTTTTTAATTGTTAAAAATATAGTTTAGTAAATAGTTTAAAAATCAATTTGCTTTAAAACGACCATGTGATATCCATTTTTCTGTAAATTGTATTTTTTGTAAACCACCTTTACCTACAGGATTGTTTGAACATTAAACTTAGGTACGTCTAAACGTTTTTTTAATAATTTTGGTTTTTACTTTATTTAATTTATCGAGCAAATTTTAAATACTTAATGAATTGTCAATACATATTTTTAAAAAAAATACATTATTTATTTTTAGTATCGCTGTCTGCGCTGATGTCCGGCTCGTTCTTCGGATGGCCGTCACCGGTCGCACAAATTTTGCGCTCAGAGCGGAAGCCGATGAACGTGACGACGTACGAGGAATCATGGATGGTGACGTGCATTGAGATCGGTAACCTGCTGACGCCACTACCAACCGGATATCTAATGGACGCAGTGGGCCGCCGGGCCAGTCTGATAGTTTCCGTGCCAATAGCGATTACCGGATGGGCACTGATCCGCTGCACCAAGACCGTGTGGGGTCTGTACGTGGCCCGTATTCTGCACGGTTGCGCAATGGCCGTTGCGTACACCGTGGTGCCTATCTACGTGGGTGAAATTGCGGACGACGACAAGCGTGGATCACTCAGTCTGTTCTTCCAGGGCATGATCTCGTCCGGCGTATTGCTCGTCTACGTGGTCGGCTGGATGGTGTCGTACGATTGGCTAGCGGTCATCATGAGCGCGGTAATATACCATATATACCATATACCTCTAAACCGCAAACCGCATCACGGTTATTATTCTAATAAAAATCCGACCGAAATCCACACGCGTACCGGCAGCTTACATAGGTGAACCGAGCAGGTCTGTCGGAACGCGTGTGACCGGTTTATTATGCAGGCAATATAATAACATTTTTTTATCATTATCTGGATCGTGTTCACTACAAAAGATCCCGATGCTGTCGGTTATTCTGTTGACGATCATACCAGAATCACCGCACTACCTGATGATGAAGGGTGAAAAGGACAGGGCCTTCAAATCGCTCAAGTGGTTGCGGTCGACTGATAACGAGGCTGAGATCGAAACGGAACTAAAATCCATGACTAATTTGTCGTCGCTAAACAGCACACCGGACACCCTGTTAAAATCATCTGGTCGGGTTCTGGCTGTGGTGCTAGTCATGAGCACGTGCCAAATATTCACTGGCGTCGGAGCACTGGAATCGTACGCATCGTCGGCTTTCAAAATGAATGGCAACCGTAACGCCATTGCACTGGGTCTAGTGGCCCTATCCAGTGACCTGATGTCCGCGATCATTATTGGCCGATTTGGTCGGCGGCCACTGTTGTTGATTTCGTGCGTCGGTTGCTGTATCAGCCACTCGATTGCCGCTTACGGAATGTTCTCGGGCGAGCAAAATCTCATGGTCCTCGGTGCCCTTGCCGGAGTCATGTTTTTCGCGAACGCCGGCATCATGCCACTCGTAGCAGCCATCGTATGCGAATACTTTCCCACTGAACACCGGGCCCAGGCAAACGGTATCACGCAGTTCGTCATGACCACCGCATCGCTGATATCACTGAAGATATATCAGCCTATTAACGAAGCGTACGGCGTGTACAGCAACTACGTGTTGTTCGCGGCTGTCGGGGCGTTCACCACAGTGTTCGTTTACTTGGTTATACCGGAGACCAAGGGATTGTCATTCAAAGAGGTTGAAATGGAGTTGCGCAAAAGTGGTCTGAAAAGCAAAGTTGTACAAGACAGCAAGGTTGGCCAGGAAAACAAAGCGTTTGAGGGCACCAACGGTGGTGGTGAGGACAGAAAAGTCAGTGAAGTTGGCAAGGATGTCAGTGGTGACGGTGATTGGAATTGCTGTTGCGTCACCATAAAACACGGGCCATAATAGCTAGGTGGATTCCGTTCGGTGGGAACCACTTCGCATGACGGAATTCGATGGTTTTCCACAAATTCCGTACCGCCGAATAGGTCATACGCATAATACATTAATACCAACAACGTTCGCCACATTGTGTATTTAAAAGCGTCACGTCGAAAATCCGAAAATTGCGAATCTCGAAAATCAGACTAGTGGTAAACGCCACCATGTCGAATCGCGTACGTATGATCAGTGGCGGCAGCGACGCAAGGAAAACCCCAATGAAAAACATAATTTTTTTAACGTTTTTATACTTGCACGTTTTTTACGTTTTTTTTTTACAAATTTTTCATTTAATGGCTAAATCGTACATATATAAATGCAAATAATATAAATTAGTATTATATTACTATTAGCGGGCGTATTATAAAATAACGCAAGCCGCATGATACGTATTATTATATACGCGTGTAAATATGCACACTCGCATAATCGCATTACTCGCGTAATCGTAATTTAGGTATTTATGATGTTTCGTTATTATTTCACTTGGACTGTTATTATTATTATTAAACCGCTATTTCTATAATAATAATATTACTACCGTCTTGAAATAATATAATTTGTTTTATTTCGGTGTCACACAATCGCGAGGTTGTTTTTTTTTTTGCTTTCGTTTCACTATACATACATATACTATATAAAACAGAAAGCAAACGGAACCACGTTTTTTTCTGTCTTTCTCCCCCACTCACATTCTTTTTCTAAATTGTCGACATAATATACGTCGTAGAAAATAATGTATAATATATATATATACGATATCAAATCTCCCCAAGACGTTCTGATCCGAGAATAATGTATAGATACGTATACATAGGTGGCTTAAATAATAGTATGTACGATTTTGCCGCGACCCCATCGTCGTCGTTATATGTACATAAAATACAATGGAGTGTTGCCAATTTCAGAATTCCGAGGAGAGAGATCGCGCCGCACGTTTCCACCTGGAAATCTGAACGAATCCCGCGTAAAGCTAAACCGGTGTGAAACGCGGTGCGGGCCAAATTACTTGGCAGAACGCACTCCGGCGTACAGTAACTCACCGCACTTCGCGCTTTTATACGCACCTAAACGAAAAAAAAAATAAATACCCAATGTAATTATTGTTCATCAATCACTGCGCTGCATTGTTAACTCGGCCAACTATTATTAATAATATTAATAATAATAATAATATATAATTTGCATACCATACAAAAATCCGTTTAAATTGAGTATACGATGCAATGTTAAACAACTGAATAAAAAAAAAAAAAACTATGTTAGGTAAAAACTTATTTTAAATGCACTTTATTTTGTTCAATTTAATTTTATTGTTAGATAATAAATTGCACTTGTTTGTTGCCATATGCTGGTAGTGTCGTAATTTGGGAGGGACAGAGGGGGCATTTAATTCTCCTCGTTATCAGTGAGCAGCTAATGAGTCGAGTATAGGCTTATGTCGGGCTAGTTTTGTGCCGCAAGCCCACAGAAATGATTGTCATTATGTTTTATGATACAAGGTTACAAGTTGATATACAAGTTAACAAACGGTTTATTTTCAGTTTTATTATGGGATAGTCAAAAATTATGCACCTCCCTCTCAAAAACTTAAATGACGCCACTGTCTATAGGACATTATAATATAGTTTACAAAAAATAAAAAATAATCTTTATAATTTATTTATTATAGGTAATTTATTTTAAGACTAATTAGCGTTAGGTATATATCATTATACAAATACGTATTATGTTATTCTTATTATTACATCAATGAAAATTGTTTTTTTTTCTGATTAATATTATTTGTGCAACGTCTATACTCGTCGATTAAAACTAAAATTGTCTATTTATGTAATTTTTTTTATACGAAAACAATTTTTTAATGAATACTTATGTGATAGTATATAATGAATTATACATAGTTATAAAATAATTATCTAGATTATACGAGACTGTATACTTAATTATGATTATAACGAAGACTTAATAAAATTTTATTTGTATAATAAAAATAACTAGGAATTTATATTTTTAATTTTTTTACTGATTTTGATTTACGTATACCCGTAATTTCTATTACGCTTTTAGATAAACGTTCAATTTACCTGAATTGAATGACATTCGTTAACGTTTTGATTATATTCTGACGTAGAAAGAAAGAATTAGACACCTTTTCCCCGGCTTTTTTATTTTTTACTTGTATTATTATCTCTAATAATTTTGGACTATTATGTAGTGTAATATTTTTAGTAAGCAGGTAGAATATAGTGAAACAAGTCAGAAATATTGAAGATAACCAGCAAAAAAAAACCAAAGACAAATTGCCTAATTTGTTCACCCTATGTGCAGCGATAGTGTAACTTGCAACTCTGATGACAGTTTTACTAAATTCAAATAATTCTGTTCATCATCGTGAATATTAACTTATTATATACGTAATTAACAACTATAACTTTTCAGTCTTCTCTCCCTTTTCTTTCTTCTCTTCTGCCTCTTTTTTTTGGGTTTTCCTAAATATTATGAAAATTACTTTAGCTATAAAAAAAAATGACTTTATCTATCAATGTATATGTTATATTAAAAGGAACAAAATCTATTTATTTTGTTGTTTTTAAATTGGAACAAGATTTCTGGTAGAAAACATTGTTTGAACAATTTAAAACAAAGAAATCGGTAACGCTGTGGCACGCCGTAAATATTTGTCGTTTTACTTATAATTTTCTTTCGGGTTTTTCTCAGTTATTTTGATAAAAAATGTTTGATTTACATATTGTAAATGGATTGGTATATAATCTAAAAACCAGAATTTGAATGTATGCAAATTTAACTAAAAAAAATGGGGTGAGCACGCTTATTGAATTATCTAACCTAACCTAACCTAGCCTTCCTCCAAGTACATGGTGGTTAATTAATTAATGTTATATCGTTTGCTTACATACTAGTATAATAAATATCGGTTGAAAATCATAATAATAATAATACAATAAATGCTTATTATAGTAGCATTAGAAATTTCGAAACTCGTCTTATATATGAACCGTCGTCATCACCACTAGTATAATAATTATATACACCGTACATACGCCGCTGAGTTCGAAAAGGTTTTGCCGAGGCGAATAATAAATCAAAGGGCTCTTCGCGCACAAATCCCGTCCACTAATGATTCTCACGCGTCAACAATTTCCAAACGAAATCTATCTTCGTCGTCGTCCACGACTCACCGAAATCGCGTTTACCGAAAATACAGCAGGAAAAAATAGAGCTATAAATTCGTTTTTTTTGTCAAAATTTTTTTTGGTTTTCCTTTGCGCCTATAATACGATGTACTACTATATTTATGGCCATGAGTTAAAAGGTATATAAAACTATATAAATCTGGATTTTGGGTTGTATCTTTTTTTTTTTGTGATAATTCAATATAATATCGAAAATAAAAATATTTAAGCTATTTCATTAGCGATCTGGCTTAACGTTTGAAGATCTAATGTAATTCAAGAAACTGAGTTTGGCCTTTCATCACCAAGGTCCAGAAATGACTGAAATATATTATAAGAACATAATTCCAATCCTATTTAGATTCTGAACGAAGTGAGAGAGTTTTTTTTCCGTTTTTGGATAACCTTTCTACTAGAAATCTTGCTCTGATTATTGATTATAGCACCTTTTCTAAAAACGAATATTGTTTTGCAGATGCATTGTGGAAATCCACTTTTTGGTTTACCTTAAAGTTTTTAAAAAGATTTAGAAAACCAGGAAAATATATTAAATAACGATTTTAGTTAAAAGTTGCTCCAATCTGCAGCACACAGTCAACAAACGGCCAGCAAACCGCTGACATGGCACAATACTACTAAAAGATGTTCTACGAAGGTATCCATTGAAATATCTTGAATAGTATTAAATTTTTAAATTTAAAAACAAGCAGTTCTGAAATGTTGTTAAACATAACATGTTAGGTATTTAAATTTCGTTTCCGTTATTTTAGATTCTCCCTAAAAATGAGCTACCTAAAGTACCACCTCAGTCCGATTTAATTTCAGAAAAAGTGCTATTATTGTAAAGTGGGGCTAATTGCTGGTAGAAAAATTGTCACGAGAAAAAAAAAAGAATTGTTACTGGTGATGGGAGCGGCCACTGTTGTAGGTGCGAAACTGGGAAGTTAGGATACATAATGTTATTTCATTTATATCTGCAAGCAACGATAATCCATTACTTGACAAAAGACGATTCCGAACGCAGTTCGGTAATACATAATTTGAAGTGCCTTAATTTTTTTTACGATTTTCGTTAAAATTTAATTTCAAACTCTTATTAAAAAAAAAGTTGTCCAATGATTTTGGAAATTTGATCACGTCTAAGTAAGTCCAATATAAGTATTTTTACCAAGTTTCAAGTCTCTACGTGTATTTATAATCGAATTACAGTAAAAAACTCCCAAAAATTAAAATTCCTTAAAAGCTCAAAATAACTTAAAAGTTTTGGAAATGATACACTTAGAAAGTAAACAAAAAGCTGTAAGCTATAATATTATCATTAGCTGCTTATTATTAACACCTACCTAAAAACATAAAAAAATATAAAATTCAAGTTAATATAATGCATACATATACCTACATACTTTTTAATATAAAATTACACACAATTATTCAACTATTTTATATAAAAAAATAAAAAAAAAAATGATAAATTTCAGATTCTGAGTTTAGCGAAGAATGTATTGTTTTACAAAGATGTTTATTTTTTTTATTTTTATTTTTATCTTTTTATCCTGTGTACAAAAATTCTACCAGATATCTTGCTCCAATATATTCACGTGGTGCCATTTCTAAAAGGAAATATTGTTCAAAATGTACTTTTAAGAGGTCATTTTTGATTTTCCAAGTAATTTTTATAATATCTGGGAAAAACCATTATAAAACGTACAAAATGGGAAAATCACGAAAAGATTTCTTTTATTATATTTTCAATTTTGTTATTTATTGTAAGTCAGTTGAAAATATTCATAGAGACTTGGAATTTGGGCAGAAAAATTATATTTGCCTTTTCTAGGCATGGGAAAATTGTTAACACATTTGACTAAATTTAGGCTTTTACTAAAAATTTTAATATTTTTGTTGAAATCCAGTTAAAAAAATTCGTAACGATTTTATGAACTTAAAATTTGGACAAAAAATGTATATTTACCTTTACTAGAAAGTCGTATAATTTTCAAAAAAATTAAGCTTTTTTGAGCTATATATAGACATTTTAATTTTACGAGCTTTATACGTAATTATTATTCGGCAGGTACTGTGGGTATAAAATTGTTAAGCTTTACAGAAATGTGTAAACATTTAACAAGGTTATGAAGTCTTTCTTTGGTCAAAAAAAAAATTGAGTTCAGTGTAGTATTTTTTTTTTTATAAAGGAATTTTGACATCAAATTTTGACGACAATAAAAAAATATGTGGAACAAATCTAAATTTTATATTTTTAGTTTTGAACATATGTATATTGCCGATTCAAGAACGATGGTGATGTCAGAATTAAGCAGACTGACTATGTTTCAAAATTAAAGCTTTTTGAAGTGCTGGTATTATGCTGATATTATATGTTGTAATACATTAATACTCAATATTTGTGAAACAAACGACATAGTGATGAAGTAAGTATAACTACTAGTTCCATCATAAAAAATATCAGTGTTGCCACATAAGTACGCCGTAAAATTATTTCACAATTAATTACACGCACTTTTTACATACTGGCGCTTCCCCGTAGCCACTGCGGTGATCATATGGGAGCCACCCGGGTGGAGACCACGGAAGGCACAGAGACGTGAGACACGTAAATCTTCTCCGTCAAATTTTTACTTCTCTGAGTTCGCCCAGCGGAAGCACTATTTTTTTGTTTTACTCATCCCTTTCTCACACCTATACAATTCTTTCAAATTCTATACCCCAAGTATAGTGGTTGCAGAACCTAAGGCGGATATTTGGTATACCTATCTATATCTGTGCAGTAGTTGCAGAACATTGTATCTGATAATCTATAACTCCTATATAACTATTTATTGCTTGTGTAATCTGTTTTGTTACATACTTAGACGTGATCACTTTTTATAACTTTCCATCGAAAGGCTATACACAACTTGTAATCATATAATTGCATTTGTTCTGGGGGTCGCTAACAGTCGCTTTATGCGTTAACCACCAACCAGCTTGCCTTAGATTACAGCAGTTTGTCTATACGCCTGGAAAAGTGGTCAACGAAAAAAAACAATCCACGCGTTCTATGTGTCGTATGTTAAGCACTTACGTTTACTTTGGTTAATTTGCATAAGTGTACACATTACACGATATACACACTCAATATACACACTTATCCATATTCCATCTCGCACACCCGAGCAACAATCCATGCACAGGTCACTTTTATCTTAACTACCGCATTACAGCCAACGACCGGCAGGCAAACTGTTTTGCAGATCAACGAGGTAAGCGAAAGTTACTTTACTTCCGTAGTAGAATAGTATTTAGTTTCTTCATAGTAAGGAAAAACTAATTTATAAATTCGTTTAAACACACACCCATACAGAATAGGACGACCTTCGGACGATACACAATAATATCCCATATTATACGGTACGATTTTATTATATAATATGATTTACATACATCGTATCTACATCGCGTCTCAACACCATATTTGGCTGTCTGTACATAGTGGCAACGTAGCGTCCGCGTTAAGTCATAAAGTCGTCACACATACACCCCTTTAATGCTCACCACTGTGTTCAAAAGATTATTTCACACTTATATTTGTATGTAAAATAGTGGATCCACGCGCAATAAATAATTATTATCTCATTACCTATGTTATTATAAACGATATGCAGTATTTGCTAATATGAATATTATATATTTGATAATAATAATTCAATATTACGCGTTTAATGTTTACGTATTATGTGTATACACATGACTATTATATTACCCATTAATATAGGTCGTCAATTTCAGCCAATGAACGTTAAACATAATATACGCGTAGTTTAACCGATTTTGTTTAACGAATTGTACACTGAATGCAAATAATAGTAATTACATTTCACCGATTGTTCATATCATATTATATTTACATGAGATATTCTTAAATTATTCGAGGGAGAATTAGGAGAGTGATTAAAATGTATCGAATACCTGCAAATTTAGTGCTTCATTTATGAAAGGGGGGTTAAGTTCAATTGGTTAGGTTAGGTTGAGTTAGGTTAAATGGGAACAACCATTCCGGGCATTTTATTATATTAAACTACAAATATAACAATAAAATACACGAGCGTAGTAAAGTACGTATACATTTAAAAAAAAATGATCAATTTAATTAACACCCCCCACTTAATTATAGATTCAGATCCGCTACTGTACTAATATTAATACTTATAATATTATTTGTTTTTGTAATTATATTATGATAAATGAGGTGTATATAATTACCCACATTTCCTTGTAGCCGCCACTGAATTAGATTATATTATTGTTTTCGTGCTTCTTTTACACTAAAGATTATAATATTATTCAAAATACCTACAAAAGACTATATAGTATTGTATACAAAATTATATACAAAGAGGAGTAAAATTAATATTTTTTCACTACTTAGATAATTAAGAGGGGGAGAGTAATCGTTTGTTTTTGTGTGTACGTACTTGCATGTAGGGTTATGTATATGTATCATATACATATATATATATATATATATATATGGAAATGGGCTCTTTTGTGTTTGCCATCCATATTCACTTTATATAACATTGTGTGCGCAGTCACGTCAAATGAAGACGTAAATCCCACTTGTAAAATCGTTCATCAAAATTAAATCCTCACGTTTAGTTGTAGAAACACACGTATATAAAACAAAAAAAACATTGGACCGATAAAAAAAAATCATTGGAAAACGTGACGGATTATACTCTTAAGCTTATACAGTATGAATTAAAAAATAAAAATTACTCTTTGTAAACACTTTTACCTCCTCTTCCTCGTGATAACTGAGAAGTATTAATTTCAATTTAATTTAAACAAATAAGACGTAAAATAATAATTATAAAGTGATCGATATACTTTTATATAAGTTAAACCAAATCGATTAATTTTCTTTTATAATTTAATACATCATGATGAAAATAATAATTTAATTTCCTCCCGTTAAAATAACATTTTTTTTTTTTTATTATACGTTTGGGAAAAGTTTAACAATTTTTTATATACTATAATAATTGTAATGGAAATGCCTTTTTTACAAGGCACTGAACAGTCTCAGACTCTTAAGTTTGTATCATGAAATTTAGAATTTGTGTTAAAATGTTTAAATTAGAATTAAACTTTGTTGTTGATTTAAATAGAGATAAATTCACGTAGATAAATAAAAAATGAATAGGTATGTAAGTTAATTAAAATAAATTAATAAATATTGAGTAAATATTTTTTGTATATTAAATATATATTATTGTAAGTTAATATCAATAAAGACCTCCACAAAAAAAGTTTAAAAACCGCCACTGCTCATAGGTATACCTCTTATGTAGATACATATACAAAGTAATATATAAAGCATTTAAATACCATGTTACGGATTGATTGAAATTAGGACTTAATAGAAACATAATGTAAAGAATATAAATAAAGGCCAAAGTCACGGTCACAAAGATGTTAAGAAACTTAAGACCTAATATAATAAAATAAAAATGGCTCAAGTCCAATTTTCTTGTAATTTTACATTACTCTATTACCATGTAAATTAGTTGTAATGAAAAACTAATAATTCAAAATATTATGTTCTAAAGTAGGAATAAAAATGTTTAGTTTTCGCTAGCATAATTTTTCGAAATTTGATTCGAACGTATTGGAAACTATAGACAAAATAGACTGAAATCTTTTTTTTACCCCTGGAAGCCAAAGCGTCGTAATACATAAATAAAAAAAAATTAATAGAGTGAGAATGAGTGCAGCCACTGTTAGGCACGGGTGGTGGCATTGCAAAGAAAAATGTACAAAACAATAATAGCGAAGCAATACGGAAAAAAACACTAAATACGTTAAATAACGTCTTTACGTTTTATGTATGTTCCTGGATATTTCCGATATCAACTGATATCAACGATCAACGATAATAAAATCAAACATGTAATCTGTCATAATTAGTATTCGAAATAGACCAACGAAGTTCTTGCGTGGTACGCATTTATCATTTACGTATTAAGAAACGTCAACATATTTAATCAGAATTATTATAAGTCAAATGTAGAAGAATGTGCATTTGCATAAAAATCTGGGCCTTAGTTGTTACTCATATTAGAAAATTCAATACACTCAAAACAATGAAGAAGTAAAATGTTTAAATTATATCTTGTCGTTATTATGTATTTTATTATTTATCAAACTATTTAAAATTCAACCATTTATCACTAAACGATGTTCAATAAATGTAAATAAATTAAATTTAAAAATACAAATTTCTGTTTGTGCACTATAATTATCGTTTAACTTATTAGTTTAGTATGCTAAATTATTCGTCAATTTTTAGTGCTAACTCAAAAATAGATCCCCAGTAGTCAGGAGCTTCATAGCACATCAATTTCTTTTTCATAATTTAATGCTATATAATAATAGCTCTGAATACTGATCAAATATTATAATAGATAATAAAACAAATAATATCCATATTTGGAAAAATTCTAACAAATTATAGGAAATAAAATACTATAGCTAACCAAAAGTTTCAACAACCAGTTTTCTAAAAATCCATATAACAAAATAACTATTTTGAATATTTTATTTTCAGTTCCCTCATCACCTCAAAAAAAAAAAAATACATATAAACTGTAGCGCAGAGTCATACTAATTATTCTACAAAAATATATTAAATAGACGGACATACTTCGCACATAGATGGGCCACTCTATTGTAGGTGACTATCTGGAAAGGTAGTAGAGGGGGAAATTAAATATATATATCTGTACACAAGGATTAACCATTGTTAACGAATAAACGATTCTGAGCGAAGTTTGGGTCATAGTGTTGTTTCGTCATCAATATACATGTTACTTTAATTAAATATGCATTGAACATTTTCTTTAATAATATTTTTTTAATATTATACCTGTTTTCCCGTTCCTTTTTTTCAGCTTTTCCTATTTATTGGGAATTTCTTGTCCAATCATTTATTCCATCTGCCAGTTAACAATGCAGTATAATATAATGTAGTGACGTGATCAGATTTTCGAGACAATTAATAATTTCAATCAATCGAAAAATCGTTTACCAAAACAAAAAAAGGACAATGTGTATAATTCGTGGAATTAAGTAAGGTATGGGAGGAGAAGATAATATATGATACTTTCATTTCTTCCTGAGCACGCCGTTTTTATTATATTTTCATTATTTCTCAGTTACGCTCAATGGATCACAGGTTTACTTACTATTACTCAATGCATCTGCTGGCAAGGTTATCAATATTTAGTACTATTTTTATTTTCCTATAAAATAATAAGAAAAACCACACAAATATGACCACTCTAGACAGCAATCAGCAGAGTTAAAAAAAACCGATATTTGCCGTTCCCTGTAATTTTTTAAACATTTTTTTTTTTTATTAATTTAGAAATCCCTGTGGAAAATCAAAAATGACCTCTTTATTGCATCAACTAGGTCCAAAATATATCAAAAAAGTCACGTCATTTTTCGATTGGAGCAAGTTTTCTGTACAAAAGTTTTTTTATAGACAGAAAAAACAATATAAGGGAAAAGTCAATAGTTCTCTCGCTTTGCTCCGAATCTAATATTTAATAGGTATAATTTTTCAACTGTAGCTCCCGTTAGACAAATATTCAAATTCAAAGACTAATTAATTAATCGTTGAAATGTAACTCAAACATGATTTTAGACATTATTTCGAGATAACGGAGGATAAATCCGAACGATTTCCTCTGTAACATTGAGTGAAAAATGATAAACAACACAGGCGATAAAAATGAATGAAGATCGGCATTCGTATTCTAAAATCGGTGAAAATAATAATATTATAAAAAATTCATATTTTACTTGGAAAATATTATAAAAACAGTAAAAACAAAGGTTTTTTTAATTAATTATAAATACGGATAATGCAATTTCATTATACTTATGGATATTTTTCAGATAAATGCACCGTCAAAATATTTTATATTTACGGATAAAAAATAATTTCAACTTTCATATTTTGTATATTATAGAATAATTGATTATAAATTATACCCTGTCTATAGACTTTAAACTCATTTATAATATTATAATATATGTATAAAACATGACGCGAAATAAAATAATTACAATGTTATTGATTACGGGAAAGTTATTAGCCCCGAATATTTTATTTATTATTATTATTATTTTTTTTTTAGAGAGGGATAATGCTATTATTTTTACGCTGAACAACAAATGAAAAAGCGCGCGAGCTTAATAATTAATGGAAAGGGTCACTGTTGTAATTTATTGAACTACGGACTGTGTACAATAGTAATGTTATATCCAGTGCAGGATATAATATAATAATATATACAACGACGACGACAACGACGGAATCTCTAAAAAAGCAATTTTAAACTTTGGTCCTAAAAAATATACATATTTTGATGTGTACGAATAGATAAATTGTAATTAAAACAGTATATACTATTACTACAATGTGTAAGTATGATACAGGGTGGTGAATAATAATCGGAATTAAAAATAAAAACCAATATTATTTATACACCGAA